CGACTTTTTTATCGACTGAACTTCCAATTCCCATTCCAAGGGTTTCATATCACAATCTGCATTGAAATGGAGATGATTCTCAACCCATCAAACGCAACGAACCCAACGCAACTACTGCGTCAAAATTGTAGAATCACTAAAAGACTTCAGCATTGCCATCACCCGCCGTAGGTATAGTAACCGGCCACTCCCGCTTCCATATTCGGCGTATCATGCATACGATCGACCCAACTCACTGTCGTTTACCGAGCAGATCACTGACCCAAATCTTTCACAGGGAGTAGTCTGATTGGTAATCAAGCTAGACTGTTCACAGGCTCTCTATTTTTCAATGCACGTGAAGGTACGTGAAGGAAGAAGTTAAGCAAAGGAAGCGCGAAGCGATCGAGCCAAACGAAGAATAGAGTCTACATTTCTCTCGGTCCTCACCACACCCTACCTAGTCAAGTCTCATGTTTTGGGCTGGCGCGCATGCAGGGCTCCAAGTGAAAAAAAAAAAGAAAAAGGCTGGAATTTCGTCGATCGTGTAAACAACAACAACAAAAAAACCCGGGGAACTTCCATATAAAAAAAGGACGGGGGTTCTAGTCGTAAATTTGGAAAAGAATTAACCCCTAAGAGGTACCAAGATCCTTTTTGTGGGCGTGGCTTGAAAATTTTTTCTCCCATAAAGAGGTACCAATTCACACACAACTATGGTGACCTAGAACTGTCATAATAAATATGACACCCGTGATAAGAAGCTGTATAACTTGCAACAGTCAATCAAACAGGCGGTCCCGGCGTAACAACATAAAATGTAAATAGCAAACATGCTGGCGGAATATTTCAAACTTTGTCTCTCCAGAGCATAGTTAGTAGTCTCCTCTACTAACTATTTCCAGAGCTAATAGTAAGAGAGCTTAGAACATATCTTGCAATATGAATGAGCCGAAAAAACTAGCAAATGGCAAAATACAGAGGTGGCAAACTCTACAAATTAACCCCAGATAACAGCGGAAACCAAATAGACCTACGTGACCTCGATCTAACGGCTCTACTGTGGCAAAATGTCCTCCCAATAACACTATAAAGTATGCCATGATTAAACGAATGTGTTGTTTAAAAAAAAAAACAGAACTTGAAAAAAAAACACTATTAACCCTTTGAATACCAAACTTTTGCCAAAAAATACCGTTTTTAACCGTTTAGTCAGGTTTTTTTTAGCTGCCATGA